TCTTGTGATATTTTATTTGATTTCAACAAAATTTCAAATTTTGTGTAACGAACAATTTTTTAAATTTTGAATTGCAGGAGAGCAACCGAAAATTGGAATGAGGCTAAAGTGCAGGAATTAAGTTAAGAAATTCATGTAATGAATTTAAATTGAGAAAAAATTATAACAAATTATCCGAGAAACTCTTGTGATATGTGATTTTATTTTGAAAGCAAGGAAATAATTTTTTGAATCTTCAATTTCAGATAAACCACGAAGAAAAAAGACAAATCCAATCGTAAATTGATATTACTTATAATTCAACGGTAAATATTCTCAGAATAGGTCCTAAGTGAAATTTATAATTGAAATGAGTATTTTAAAAAATGAGTTTGCTGTTTGTTTAGCAAAAAAGGAATAAATGGGCTTTGACAATTGAAAAATCATACTTAAAATACAAAATAAAGGAATTGATTGAAAAAATTGATATAACAAATTATTACCAAGGTAAATATTATTGCAAATTGTCCAAAGAACTCTATGATCAGAAATTAAATTTTAAAAATAAAATTCCACGTGGTTTTCTACAAGAAAAAGATTTTTCGATTAAAAAAAATTGAAATAAAGAGGAAAAAATCAGAAAAATTGATTTCAAAAACGAATTGCATTTTCAATAAATTTGGACTTATTCTCCGTTTTAAAATCAATTTTTTGGAAAAACACTGGGTTTTTTAATTATAAAAATTGTATGACACTTTTGCGCAATCAATCAAAATATAAAATTATTGCATGGGAAAGCTGTCATGTTTACTCTACCTCCCGTGAAATGATGATGTTGCTACGGAGCAAATCACTTTGGAAGAGAGGAATAACCCATAATTAAAGAATTTTTTTTTTTAATTATTGCACTTACACTAGTGGTGAGAAGAGTGTTTCCCTTGGGCTGTATGCTCTCAGCAAGTGCAGCGACATCATCCATCTCATTGTGAGTCTCTGATTGTGAGGCATCAGCATTGTTTTTCGTCGACTTATCACCGGAGAAATCCTCGAGCAATGATTTCAATCCAATCCCAGTCTCATCGTCACTCTGGGCCTGGGAGTCATTGTCCTTGGTTTCATCTCCACTTTCACTCTCACTGTCAGACTTTTCCTCTGCATCCTCATCATCATCCTTCTCTGACTCCTTTCCTGACTCTGAAAAAGCATGAAAAATATATTTTTTAAATGAATATAAAACGGAAAAGCGTAATAAATTTGTGAGAAACAGTGGAGATGATATTTTATTTGAAAAATCTCAGACAAATGCCTCTATAACAGCACGAAATAGGTTCGAGTTGAATGGATCTCGTTCCTTCAGAAACGGTATATTGTCATCACTGATTATTATGGTGAAAAAAATGAAATTGTGAAGATGTTATTGATGAAAATAATTTAGAAGTCATTGCAAAAGAATTGAATTGTACAAAAAAGGGAAAACACTTAATTTTCAATGGATTGAAATTAAAATTCAGGTGAAATCATGAGCAAATATTTTTCAAAATAATTTTCTTCCAGAGTTTTACTCCCTTTTGAACATTTTCAGTCATAAAATTTCATTTGAAAAATTGATGAAATTGAAGAAATCCATTAAACAATATTTTTAACGGATTCAAGTGATAAATGATGCGGTTTTTATTACTAATTAACAATTGAGATATGAAAAATGTGTAATGAGTTATTTTTTGTAATGACTTTAGATCCATTTTAACTTAACACGAAAAATAATGTTGAAATCTTAAAAAATGAATTTAAAACAAAAAAATAAATACCTTCGTCATCACTATCCTCCTCCATGGGTGTCGCTTCAGCAGTGCCATATTTAGCCACGAGTTCCTCCACAGACATTTCATTCTCAGCCTTCAAATCATCCAGCTCCTGCCGATGATCCACCTCTCCCTCCCTCTTCTCCTGCTCCATAATCGTGTCCTCATCATCACTAGACTCATTACTATCAACTTGAAACTCTCCATCAGCATTGCTCTCCTCCCCCTGACTTCCCAGATCTGGCGACAGACTCTTATCCCTCTCCTCCAAGTAATTAGGTGGCAACTCCTTCAGAAGATCCTCGAGTGGCAACTCTGACTCCTTCTTCAGGAGCTCCACCTCTTCCTTGTGATTAGACTTCATCTCCTCCTCAGCTTTAGCTATTGTCTCCTCGTCGTCCTCAGAACTCTGATTTGGCTCGAATTCATCATCTGAATGTTTATCACCTGGCACTGGGGACGATATTCTCGAGCTATTCATCGATGCAGGAACACTCTGTGCACCATCAGTCTTGTTTAAACCCTCCGTCAACCAGGTTGAATACTTTTCGGTTTGGCCAACAATGAAGTTCAGGTGTTGATCAAGTGCTTTTTTACGTTTCTCTTCCAGTCTTGTCTGGGCCTTGAACTCCACCAGCTGAAAAATACAAGGTGATTAATGTGGGATTATTGATAAATGGGAATGTTGATGAAATTGTGAAGCCAATTGAAAATATTGTGGTATTAGAGTCATGAAATTGTTGAATGTAGGAGAAAAGAACGAGTGGATTTTTTACTGCATTTTGGGTCTTGAATTATCTTGATGAGGAGTCGTTTTAATAGAAAAGGTGCGAGAGTACTTTTTGTGGAGAATTTCGTGAACTACAAATAATTTCTTTTGACTTTTCCTCCTAAAATCGCTCGTTAATGAGATATTTTCAAGTTCACGAAACTTGGATGCCATAAAAATAATTTTTCTCATGAGAAAAAATAAACAATTGAAGAATTTTAATTATTTAAAAATAACACATGGCATTATCAAGTCCATAATTGTTATTTATTAATTTCTTATCGAGCTTTGCATTGAGTAATTGACGTGATCCCTTGACGTTTAGTTTCAGGTGTAAAATAATTTTTAAACAAAAATAAATGTCTCTGAAAAAGCGAGTCGACTGAACATCGAAAACCCCAGCCTCTTGTCATTGTTCAGAGCTGCTTCATGTTCCCACAATGAGCACACAGTTTCAGTAATGTAAGTACTAAAATTGCCGGCTTAAGTATGTGGGGTAAAAACCATTCTCAAACCCATTCAACTCTTAACAAAAAAAAGTATGCTTGAATTGTTTTTGATATTTGATTCTCCCTTCGTTGAATTCTAGACCCTTAAAAAACAATCAAATAAATGACAATCAAATCAAATCAAATTATGAGAAAAATACCTTTTCCACATTAGCCCAAAAAGTTTTAATCTCCTTCGCGACAAATCCAGCAATTTTCTTAAGCCTCAACTCCTGAAGTTTCTCCGCCTTTTGCGCCTGAATGGCCTTCTCCTGAAAGTGCTTCTGCACCATTCTCGCACACTTTTTGGCAGCAGCTTTCTTCCACTTTCTCTCCTGTGCAAAATCAGCAGCGAGCCACACCATCTCCTCAAGCAGATAATCCCAGTGTGCCTTGGTTCTCGCTGGCTCCTGCACCTTTGGCAATCGCCTCTCACTCCACAATCCCTCCCTCTGCAGTTCAGTTATCCTCTGCATAACGTAGGCCTCTTGCTTAGCTTTCTCAACAATTTGCTCCTGATTACTCTGATTATCACATGGGGATGGAGCTGTTGATGGCAATTTAACTAGCTTAACAACTGGCTGGGACGATGATGCTGTTGCTGGATTTAAGGGTGACTTCTGGAGAATTTGCGAGGTTTTATCTGTCACTGGTGATGAGGCTACCGGTGGCGAGGACTTCAGGGGAGTTGGAACGATTGGAGTTCCACCTGGAAGAATATTTCAGGATTCATTTAAAAATATCAAGTTGATTTTTGAAATTCAGTGGTGAATTGGCAAAACAGTTTGATTCAATGTTTAATTTTTTTTGAAAATATCTTTGAAAAAAAAAACGAGATATCAAAATTTTTACCTGGACATTTTTTGTAGAAAGAAATGAGCTACAATAAAGGTCTCTATTACTTTTCAAGATATTCAACAAAAAACTAAACATGAAGTGAAATAAAAAATTAAAGCCATTCACAAATGAATTTCATCAAGTAATTTTTCTGACATTATAATTAAAATTGTCTCGAGAATAACCCTTAGACCACGTGGCACTGACGACCTCGAGGACTTACACATGCTCGATGTCAATATTCCCACAAAATAAAAGACTGATTAATAATTAATCAATTAAATCAGCGGATGCATATCTCATGGGTTTTCCCTTCACAACTCGATAAATATTAAACATTTATAATTCAAATGCTAGGCTAACAACAGCTGTTCATGCCCTAAAGGAAAAGAACATTTAATCAATCATGATAATTAATAACTAAGGATTAAATTAATTTTTTCAATGACTAATGACAACTTTGGACAATGAAAAATAATTATAACAACAAAAAAATATTGACAATTCAAATGAAAACGTAATACATCGATTGACAGGCCTAAGTAGTCACCTATAATTATCGTAGGTGTTATGGTAGAATTGGGTGAAGGGTGAACGGTGACTGTTGGTGATTGTATTGCCGTCCGTATAGCAAACACCATTCCATGACGACCACCTTGTGGTCTGCCTGGTATCTGTCCTACTGTCCAAATTTTTGACATTTTATTCCATTTTTTTTTCGACGATTAGACAGATGGTTTTGGGTTTTATATGCTGTGTTCTACTGGCCACATCCACTTATTACACGGGATTAATTGATTAGGGAGTGGAATTGAAATTATTTTCACTGGGATTTGATTGGTAAAACGATTTAAGGGTATCCAAGTATCTGCTACAGTTTGGTACAGACCGGACTATAGATTCAACCATTTTCAATCATCAAATTCGCTAATTAAATTGTGTAATAAATTTTTTTTTTAATCGTAAATATTCGGCGCCATTCAAATACCTTTTTGCACAGAATTATTATTTTTTTAAATATTTGTTGTTTATAAATAAATAATTGAAAGTGTTTAAACTTTCAGAAAGTTTTTTTTTTTTCGGTATAAAATAGATTTCTGGTTAAAATTTAGAATATGAACAAATTTGTTAGAATCCCAAACAAATAATTTTTATGGTGAAAAGGTGATTGTTTATAAATTATTTTTAGAAAATGCTCGTAATTTTCAAAAATTGCAATTTCTTAATTATTCAATCAATCTTCCTCCAAAAGTAAACTTGCTCATTTTTTTCATAATTAAAAAATTTTATCTAACGGTTCAATATGGAGATTCAAATTTAGCCCTGCAATGTTTAAATAATAAAAGCATTGTAAAATGTCCGAAACCGTAGGGTGAAATGGCATGTCCCGGGGGAAAAAAGACCAAAGTACTTGGATGTCCTTAAAATTCTAATTCAAAAGTAAATGTTTTTAATTTCCTGTAATATTTGAATTATTCTGCTGAGCGATTTCAGAAGAAAATCTCAAGAGGCACTTTTCGTACATTTTTTCTCTTCACAACTGTCGAATTATTTTGATAATGATTTTCAGAAAAATGTCTGATAAATTTTTATCAAATTTTGAACTACTGATTCGTTCAAATTGAAAATACAAACATTCAAATTACGAAAAAAAAAATCCCTTCAATTCCAATTAAAGCCAATCCCCACTCAATTCCATCCTCATCCCCACCACAACGACATCTCAATCTCAAAAAAAAATTACCTTGACTAAGTTGAGCAACAGCAGCAGGCAGAGTAGTTGAAACAGCGACAGGAGTGGCTCCACTCGCAGTGATCTTGACCTCAGCCCCCTGTCCACTCCCCCCTAGAACAATGGGTCCCTCTGGAGGCAGTGGCTGCGTCAAATCCTCATCATCATCCTCAGGATCTAACCTGTGCTGTCTCAAAAAATGCAGATACGACGGTGTATTGGATCGTTTCTTCCACGTTTGAAAATCCATCATATTTCCCCCAGCATTGAGAAAAAACAATTCACTGGCATTTTCCGCGTATTTCTCACGTATTGCACGCATTCTCCGCATTTTGTGCTCCATTATACGCCTTCTGTATCCAGCTGAGTCATCCAAAACAGTTGTTTTCTCAGTTGAATCAGTTAATTTCAATTTTTTCACTGGTGGGGACGATGACGTGGGGGTCAGGAACATGTTGCCTAGAGTTGTTCTCACGAGCTTGGGGGACGTAGCCAGAACGACTTTCGTGGAGTTCTGACGACTCGGGGATGACAGGGGAGTGCCACTGCTGCTTGCCACCCCCACGACACTGACACGTGGCGAGCCACCACTTATGTTTACGATTCTCGTGACACCCATCTGCTGCAGGCTCGAGGATGTTGTCGATGCTGGCAGGACCTGGGGAGTGATTTTGAGGATTAGTTGAGGGATTTTTTATGCAGGGGAATGGGGGAAGGGGGTGAACGGGGTGAACGGGGTCAGATAAATGCCTCGATGTCAGCATGGGGAGTTGATGTGAATGGAGTATCAATCCATCAGGTTCGGTATGAATATCATCATATTGTAGAATTGATTGGGTAATTAATTGAGAGGTGAGAGGAGGGAATTGAGCCGACAATTTCGTTTATCTGTTGATTGGTGGTTGAAATTATTAGCCGATTAAAGTTTGTATTCATTGAAAAATTTCTGAAATTCGACTGATACCTTATTATAAAATTTCGAAAAAAGACCGCATGCATTCATATACACAAAATGTGAAAACTTGAATTTATCATCTTTTCTTCCCAATTATTTAAACTTCCTCAGCTGTAGTTTCATAAACTAGAGTACTAATTATTTTTCCAATAATTTTCTCATTTAAAAAATCACGTCACCAATAAGGAAAATCGATAATGCACAACAAATAAATTTGTTATCCTCATAATCCAATAAACTCAATGAAATTACCTGGGGGAAACCAGGCACCTGCGATGTGAGGACAAGATGTTGTCCAGCTCCAGTCGTGATGACATTGAGCCCCTGTGTCGCCAATACCTGCTGAAGACTGACTGACTGTTGTCCACCACCACCACTGCTGCTACCATTGTTACCTCCACCCCCAGGCAGGGGCGGCACTGTAGGTACACCCTGTTTATCACTCATCACACATGACACTAAAAACAATGAAAGAAAATTTGAATTGAAAAATATTCTCAATTCCAAAACGAAGTAAAACTATCAGATCCCCGAATTTTTCAATTCAGGCCCGGGTGGATTATCTTTCGAACGTTATCTCGATTGTTTTTCCATTTTCATAATGTAAAATATATCACAATTTTCATTGGATTTTACATCACGGAGAAGTCCCTAAAAATTACGATTGTACAATCATTAAAGTGGAAAACAAACTGACCATTTTCAAAGAGCGCTTTTAATAAAGATTAAGAAATAAGTCCGGTAGAGAATATAGTGAATGGATAATTTGCCATGGTAACCAACGATAACGTAAGAGCCATTAGATACATAAAAACATTAGTAATTGCAAATTACTAATAATAATATAACACGTATTACGTATACGTCTGCGGATTATTGTAATTACTAATGATATTTTTTAATTAGTAATTGCAAATTATTAATTTGCATCTTCCTCCCTATTGGGTTTATTTCCCAATATTATTCAAAAACGCTCGTTGAAAACGTTCAGATTTTTTTCAAGGTTTTTTTTTATTGAACAATCATAATTTTTGGAGACTCCAGGGCTATGCAAAAATGAATAGCAGTTGGAAATCATTTCAGATGATGAAAATGAGAAAAACAATATCACGTTCGAAAGATAATCCACCCGGGCCTTCATTTGAGAACTTTCATTTAAATATACAATTTTTTTCAAATCCTTTACTATGAATAATGGGAATTCTTTGAACTATTGAACACTTTTTTTTTATCATACAATTGATTTCTGGGAATATTCTGATATAAATAAAGTTAATACGAGTTCGAAAAGACTTCTGGAATAAAAAGTATCCTTTTTTTCATAAATTATTTTAAGAAATTTTCCTCGAAGACTTCTAAACGCTTTTTTCGATTCTTCAAATATTTTCTCGCAATTTAAACTAAAAAAAACAAAAATAAGCTTCAGAAAGTGGACATAATGAAAGAATTCCGAAATAAATAAAGCTTTAAAAAAATGTCTGAAGCAAATTCGAAATTTAATGAAGTAAAATATAATAAATGAGTGGAAAATATGAGTCAAAAAGAAATAAAATTATCAAATTTTTCCAACGAAATTCCTACGAAAAATGCGTAAAGATTTATACATTGATTTATGAGAACATTTTGAAGATGAATCAATTTCACACAAATTTGAGAACCTCTCGAGTAGAAACTTTGTTTATTTACTTATTTCAAAAAAAAATGTCAACTTGTTTCTTCAATGTTCAAATGTTTTCTCGCGATTAAAAATAGAAAATCAGCTGATAAAATTTCGTTATAATTTTAGCAAATAAAATAATTCAAAAAAAATTGATAAATAAAAAATGTCTGAGTCAATTTTGAGTCACCGCCACCTAAGTCTCCACAAATCGTTCGCCACCAAACAAATACGCCGGATCATAAGAATGATCCAAACACTTTTCAACAATAACTTTTTTTCGAAAAATAAAAATCCACCAAAAATCGTCCGAATTATTAATCAAATTGTCTAAACCACATCTATAAAATGAGATAATCCATCTCAAGTTTTCGAAATTCCAAAAAAGCCGCCTAAATCAAAATCCCCGGGACATTGGCGTCGCCAGTCCCGAGGTTCCAATAATCCATAAAAACTGATTTATTTATTTCATTTGTTTGAATAGAATTCCTAATTTTTCATTAATTTTCCGAATGTTTTCTCAAGACTGAAGACGTAAAATCAACTTCAGACATTGCAAAGACTAAATAATAAATTTTCGTAATGTATCCAGCAAATAAAATAATTGAAATAAATGACTAAATAAATTAATAAATTAAAAATATCTAAGTCAATTCTTCATTCCCACCACCACCCAAATGTCAACAAATCGTTCGTCATCAAACAAAAACGCCGTATCATAAGAATAATCCAAACACTTTTCAACAATAACTTTTTTTCGAAAAATAAAAATCCACCAAAAATCGTCCGAATTGTTAATCAAATTGTCTAAACCACAACAATAAAATGAGATAATCCGTCTCAATTTTTCAAAATTCCAAAAAAGCCGCCTAAATCAAAATCCCCGGGACATTGGCGTCGCCAGTCCCGAGCTCCAAATAATCCATAAAAATAATATAAAAAACGAGGAGCCCATACCCCCTAAAACAGTAAATTCCCCACCTAATAAATAATCCGCATTGTCACTCTCCAAAAATAACGATCACCACCAATTTTTCAAATCGCCAACATTTTCGTTTATTTCCACTCGACAATGGTAAACTCTCATTGGTTTTCCAAAAGCCAAAAAAAAAAAAAATATCGATTGCTATTTATTTTCCAAATTTTTATTTTTATTCCTTAACCCGAGAAAACCGATTTGTCAAGGTTTATCCGACGAATGATAATTGCAGAAATCGATAGTCTTGGTTTCACGAGCCTCGCCTTTTCCCATTCCAAACCGATACAAAGGAAATTTTCAGTCGGCCATATTGGCGTTTTCAGACGGGTGTATCGTGCGATAGCTATGACTTACCATAATGTAATCACAAAATTGTGAAACGCAGATGTGCCATCCACATTATTTGACCACAAATACGCAATAGTCAATGATTAATACGCAATTAGGTACTTCACGTTGTGTAAAGTACATGTGATATATATTGTATTTTTAACAATTTGAAACCCGGATTTTCGAGGAGGTGAAATTTTTTGGTCTAGCCCCTCAAGGACGCGCGAGCACACGACTTCTAAACATGGCGACGGCTCACGACAAAATTCATTCTGTGTTGGGTGCACGGGCTGCGTCGGGGGATACAGGGGGACGGGGGGTTCTGCAAGCCACCGATAGACTGCGCAACGGCGCACGATATTTTTACACTGCGCATGCGCCGGTCCATTGGATAGGCCCTCATTGGTGGATACAACGGAATGGGGTTTATTCGGGAAGAACCTTCCGGTTTACGGAATATCAAATCAGCAACTTTTTGGATATTTTGCAGATTTTTTTAGAAATAAAAAATATTAGGAGGAATGCATGTGTTTTTTGTTACAGGATTTTTTTTGGGATCTTTTAAATAATTTTATTTTGAATTTTGCGGAGTTTTCATGGATTTGAAAGGAAGAACTGATGCTATTTACCGATTTCAAAAGCTTTTGAGTGTTTTTAAATAACATTTTCGTTATTTTTTATTAGATTTTTTGTTGCTTCCTCAGAAAAATCTAAAATTTTTGGAAAGCGCTTTTGATAGATATTTAAAGTCTAAGAGTTTCCTCTCGAAACCTCTAGTATTCCTTTTAGACTAGTCTAGGTTTCGGGGGATCTTTTTTTCAGAGCGGAATTGAATATTTCATAAATCTCTCACAAATTTTTCTCTTGCCCTAAAAAATTGGAAACATTTTAATTGAAACCATTTTTTTGTAATTTTTTTGATACAATAGTTTTGAGTTTTTTTTATTCATGAATGTTTTTTAATTTTGATGGATTTGAGAAAGGGACCTGGTGATTTATCGATTTCGAAAGCTCATCAAAGAATTTTTTTGAAGAACATTTTTGTTAGTTTTCATCAGTTTTGCTTGTTGTTTATTTAAAGAATTTTTAATTTTCGAAATTTTTTTTTGTTGAAATCCAAGTCTAAGAAGAAGACTAGAACCTCATAAAAATTTTGCTATTCGCCTCAAGGAGTAGAGATGCAGCGAAAACTCAAGAGGAAAGTGATTTAGTACTTCAGTTTTTGCAAAATATCTTGGCATTGAAGAGACAGAGGGAAATTTTGGTTGAACCGTTTTTTGTCGCTTCCATTTCACTCTAAAAAAGTCCTTATAGAGATTTCTCTCCAACTTTTCAATTCCAGTAATGGAAATAATGGGATTATATTCATGTAAAAACAATTATCTTGAAAATTCTACGTATTTTTTTGCAAATATCATCGAAATTATCAGGCTGACAGAAAAATGTCAAATAATTTTTTTGTACTACACAAAATTCTCTACAAAAAAGTCCTTTGGAGAATTCCTCTTGACCCGTTAGTTCCAATGGTAATTTCAAAATAGCCTGTAATAAATTTTCGCATTAAAGCTACGTTCCGTATTGCACCATTAAATCGAATATTTAATTTTTCATCAATACCTATTTATAGCCGTTTTATGTCTCTCAAGCCGTCAAATTCTGTATGCTAATCGATTTTATGTTTCTCGAGTCCTCGAATAATTCAGAAACATAATAATTATAACTACATACAATCATAATTATCGCAAATGGATCCAAAAAAATTATGGAATGAAATTCCAATGGAATCAAATCCCAACAAAATTTTCTAGCGAAATCAACGAATTCTACCAATAGTTCAAAAATTTCGGAATTCCCAAAAATTTCCGATACCTGTAATCCGAACTAATTCCCGCCATCTTGCTATTTTCAGATGAATAATGCATCAAAAATCCTCCATGATGTCTTCCCAAAAAATAAAACCACAGAATTGTTGCCGAAAATATCAATTAGTGGATTCAATCCATAGAAAATTAACCGAATTAAAATCAATTTGACTGAGCCAACACAATGAAAAATCACAGAATGATAATTATTCATAATCCCATACGAAAATTTCTACATTCAATTCCAATAAAAATTTCCCGCCAAATGAAAGATTTCCACCATTATTCCAAAAATACCAACCCACAGAATTTTCCCACGCTTGTAATCCGAAATAATCCCCGCCATCCCGTTATTTCCGCACGAACAATGAATCAAAAATTCTTCCTCATTCCCTCTTCAACAGTAAAAGGATAATATTTTTCCCCGAAAATAAAAATTCACCTGCCCACTCCTAAAAAACAATCTCCCTCAATTGTAATTTAGGAAATATATTTAATAATCGCAATAATTGCAATTGCGACTGTAATGATGATCAATAGTAATTTCATATAAAAATTTCTACATTAAATTCTAATGAACATTTCCCGCGAAATTAACGATTTCCACCATTACTGCAAAAAGGCCAAAAACCCACAGAATTTTCCCACGCTTGTAATCCGTAATAATCTCCGCCATCCCGCTATTTCCGCACAAATAATGCATCAAAAATCCTTCCTCATTCCCTCTTCAACAATAAAACGACAAAATTTTTTGGCAAAAATATAATTTAACCCACCCACTCCTAATAAACAATTCCCCTCAATTATAACCTTGAATCCTCAACGAAAATATGGCGCCCACGAGGCAATAATCATGTGTTCCCCAAACCCCAAAAATACACCCCAAGAAAATCCCAAAAACTCACCTGTTCCCAAATCCACCTGTCCTCTCCTTTTCCATAATCAGCCCTCAATTCTCAAAAAAATTTCGATTCCAGAATTACTTCGGAAAATTACCGAACGCCCGATCGTAACTCTCTAACATTAGTTCTCTCCGATTCACCAGTAATTCCATGCGATTTGACGTGAGTATAACCCGGTGACTCTCTCATCACTTCCATATTTGTCACGAAATCCCCGGATTATAAAAAAAACTCGACAAATAAATTCGGAGAACGAGACGAAAATTTTCGAGAAAAAAAATCTGACAAAACGGTGTGATGACGATGCTAAAGGACTAGTTGCCAGTTACAAAATGAGTGAAATGATTTTTCGTGGAGACGATCTGCCTATCCTCACGTACGAGAAATGAACGCGTAGAGGGGTGTGCGTGTGTAGGTTCGTTCGTCTGTGAATTTACCCCGGTAATCATTTCGGTACTCATCAATTTTTTTGAAATGCTTTGACGCATCAGTTGATTAACGTAGTTATTTCATAATTTTAATTTGCATGTTGAGTGAGCCTTGGGCATTTTGAATGAGTACCGGTTTGATTGATTCCGAGGAATTTACGTTTTTGCTCATTTTGGGTAGAACTTTTTTCTGCTGGGAAAAATTAAATTTCTGGTCTGTACTCACGCGGGCAATTTATCCTCCCAAGTTGATTTCTTCAAACGCGTGAAGAAAAAATTCGAGATGTTTAGTGTTATATTTCACAGCATTGAAATTGGGTGTTGTTACAAATAAAGGCAGTCAATTGAATATGAATAAACAGCGACGACCAGATTAAACAATATCAAAAAGTAGAGATTTATTTTTCGAATTTTATTTTTTGAATTGGGTGTATTATTTGTTGTTTTCCTTTCGTTTAAATTTCTTCGAAACATTGACTCATGCATTGCAGTGTACTTCATTCGTATTGCATACTATAAATGGGAATGTCGATAACTCAACAACAATTTCTTCAATATTCGAAACCATGTTCACATTCATCTATCAGGGTCAAAAATATTCCCAGGACGAGTCTATCAACTGCCAAAAACCCCTAATGTTAATTTTTTATTTAAGAGGAGACCGCGGTGAAATTTGAAAGTCCCTGGGTATTATAAAAACGATTGTAAAAGTTAATAATATTAGGTGTGTGACTTAATTTTTACAGATCAGATTAGTTCTTCAATCCAGATTTTCGTAATTTACGTGAAAAGATATTTCAAACTTTTTTTATTAGAGAATAATTGAGCAGAGATGCCTTTGTTCGCAGAACCCCACGTGTTCTGTCCAATAAACATCCTCTCAGAAATTGGCATCATGTGACGTGAGTCTAACTCTAGTCTAAACAAATGACTAGTAAAACATGAACATTCCATGTTCATAAAACAGCGAATGTTTCCGAATTTCTTGAAAATTTGTTTTAAAGGCTCGGGTGGATTAACTTTCGAACGTGATCTTGGTTGTTTTTTTTATTATATGATAATCTGAAATGATCTCCAATTGATATTCAGTTTTACATAGCCCTGGAGTCTCCAAAAATTATAATTGTACAATCAAACGAACGTTGAAAAAAAGCTGAAGATTTTCAAAGAGCGTCTTTTAATAATATTGGGAAGTAAACCCAATAGGGAGGAAATTTCAAATTAATAATTTGATGTATCTAATGGCTGTTAGGTCGTCATTTGTCACAGTAGTCAATGGCTGTCACATCGTCAGTTACTATGGTAAATTATCCATTCACTATTTCCTCTTATTGGAAATGGGATATATATTAATATGAAATGCGGTGGATTGAACTTTAATTTTTTGTCTTTATTTGAATTGTACGAGGAAGAAACGTCTGCTCTCTACGGATCTCTCTAAGAGTCTAAATGCTGGTCACAAAGACCAAAAGACTATTCGTCGCCTAATGAAAGAACTCACTGTTCTTTTCCCTCTGAAATCATTGCTTATGTTTATGTAAATTGTCAGACGACTCTGGTGCCCTCCACGTCGATTCGTTTTTGTAACCGTCATTTCTAAGTTGAATGGATTCTATGAATTTGACCCAATAATCCAACACCTCTCTATCGGACTTATTTCTTAATCTTTATTCAAAACGCTCTTTGAAAATATGTTCAGTTTTTTTCTACTTTCTTTGATTGTACAATCATAATTTTTAGGGACCTCCTGCGTGATGTTAAATCCAATGAACATTGTGATATATTTTACATTATGAAGATGGAAAAACAATGGAGATAACATTCGAAAAATAATCCACACGGGCCTTAAATTCTCAGATCAAATAAACTTGCAGTCTAAACCAATAATCAGTACTAATATATTATGCTGTATTTATAAAATAACGAATGTTTCCTAATGAAATGTCTATTCAATCGTGTAATTTCTTACTAATCGATACTTCGGCCGAAGAATTTTTTTTTAACCGAATAAATTTTTATTTGTAGGCGCCTACAGAAAAGTTGTAAATAATGGCGAGATTGGGAACGGTTTCGATACCACAGTTGAATGCAACGATTGTTAAACAATTGAGTAGCAGGAAGATATTCACTGTGGATGACTTCATCGCTGAAACGACTGAGAGCATGACGAAGATTACAGGATTGGCCTATAAGGTTTTATCTAATTATATCTAATAATATGTAATGAATAATCTAAAAGTAAAAAGCTTGCATGATTTTTCTTTCATTTTCTAATTTCAAATTCAGAACATACATAAGTGATTTTTCACGTACAACGACTCGAAATATTGCTCATCAATGAATGAAAATGCAGCGCAAAAAACATTTGAAAAAAATTTACAGATAAGAATTTCCTTAAAAAAGTGCTGAAAAGAATAATAAATATAGAGGAATCTGTATCTCTTGATTTTTGTGTATTAAAAGTTAAAAAAAAACTGAGTGTAAACTCTTCAAAATTTCATCTATAGAAATCAGTGAAAAAGTAATAGAATTTTGATGAAATTCCGCTATAATTTAATTGTTCTTAATATATCTTCGATTGTTTCAATAGTTTCCTCTCTTCCCTAGAAAAAATAGAAATTCAGAGGAGAATTTAATTGTATTTTATTTCACTTCTATTGAATTTTTTCATTCGTAACTTCTGGACTCTGCAATGTTGTGACGAAAATTCGCCTTTCTGTTCATTTTGTACAACAGGACATTTTTTTCTTTAGGACATTTTGGCAATTCGAAAAGAGATTGTTTATAAACATGGAGGAAAAGTCAAAAATACCCTACAGTCATTAGATGAGGAGAGAGAAAGTGTTTCTACTGGAATTCCGAGGTAATGCATATGAAAAAATTTAATAGGAAAAACTAGAATTTCTTGGAGAAAACTCTAGCTGTTAAATTTTTTTATGCGTGAAATTAAGCATTGACGATTTGAATCGTGAGAAGAATTCATGATTATCGTTCTTTTTTTTTATTGCAGTTTGGATATTTTGTTGAATGGGGGGCTACATCCAGGCCAAATGTACGAATTCTGTGGAACATCTTCGTCCGGAAAAACCTCCATTTGCCTCGCAATTTCCACGAATGTAGCTTTGAATTCAGATTTCGTTGTTCATTATATCGATTCCAAACGAGATTTTTCATCATCGAGAATTCAAATGATCTTGGAGGAGCGTAAAGTGAGCAATGAGGTATAAAATTTTTTTAAAAATTGTGTTTCATTTTCAAATTTAGAAAATTGTACGTGGCACCCACTTCCTCCACCTCGATTGAAGATTTTTCTTTCCTTACTCAAAGTGACTATTTTTACCAAACATATTAAAAAATTAGACTGGGACTCGGATCCGTTCTATCAGAAAATATTTTTTTTCAAATTTCGCTTAAAAATTTTTTTCCCAATTTCTCTTTTTTTTTCATTGCAAAATTCATTATTTATGGTCTATAAAATGGTTGATAAATAATGAATTTTGAAATAAAAAACCACTCTAATTTGTTAACATGTATCATAAAAATAGTGACTTTGGGTGAAGGGGGTACCACGTACAATTTTCTACTTTGTTGGTGATTTTAAAGCATTTCCGATAACGTGAGCTAATTGCCACCATGCTCAATCGAAAGAATGGAAAATTTCCATTATGAGAATACTTATTGAAAACCCGAAAAAATTGACCTGGGCTGAAACGCAAAATTTTGGCAAAACGTCAAAACTCAAAAATTAACTTTGTGGTCGTAAGAAAATTTGAAAAAAAAATTTTTAGACCTTTTGAATGTTAAGAAAGCCATATAAGAACCCCCAACGAAATTAAATTTTTGAAAGTACAATAATAATCATAATAATTGATTTCCTTTCGTACATAAATGTCTTTTTTTGTGCATTTTTGAAGGTGCAAAACCATACCAATAATTGGCGAAAACACCCATGTAGCCGATTATGCTTTTTACATATGTGTACGTCCACGTGAAAAGATCCCACTTTGTCGCATTTATTTTGAGAGATATTCGCGTTTTTGTGTTCACACCTTCCATTTAAACCAATGTTAAACTGATTTTTCTATCTTCTCTACCGACGTCATTTTTCATACTATCGTGTTAATTTTGGGCTCAAAATGTGAGAAATCTCACTAAGATTATCGGAATATGTAAGTCCAAACCGACAAAGTGGGCCCTTTTCATGTAGATGCTCACATATATTCATTAAACTATGAATTTCTAAAAAAGTGGAAAAGCCATTCACTACAGAAAAAATAACCAAAGTACTTGGATATCCTTAACGAATTTGTCTACACTTTCATTAAATTAAAACGATTGAAATTACGTAAATTCTCCTCAATGCGAACAATAGGAAGTAGCGAGAGTGATGGGGCAAATAAAATTGACGCAAATCCAGAGCCTTCCCGAGCTATTCTCAACCCTCTACAGTTTAGTATCAGCGAAGGATGATAAACTGAGGGTGATAATAATAGACTCTTTGCATTCGCTGTTCCACGTAACAACAGACAATTACGAGTCACTGTATTCCCTGAACCATTTATGGAACATCTGCAAGTATCTGGCTGACGAGTGCTGTCTCTCAGTGATCACAGTCAATGCTGTAACCCAATGGAGAGAGAATGAAAGTCTCCCAGTAAATGGTGCAGAGACTTCTACAATTATCAAACCAATGCTGGGGAGGTTTTGGAGAGGAGTTCCAAACACGAGGATTTATGTCGAGGAAATGGGTAATGACAAGAGGAAGTTGACGATCTGCAAGAGTCATGAGCTTTCGATTGGCAAAAATGTTGAAATTAAAATAGTAAATTCTGGGATCATATGAATATGATATTCATTTGGAAATTGATTTTTGAAAGAATCCACTTGTTTCTGTGACAAGAGAAATAAAAACAATTTTTCAATTCCTATAATTGAAGCTCAATTTTTATTTACAATCGTGACAATTACTATTATATTACATAGCGTTGAAATAGGGCACTATTACAAATAAACACAGTCCATTAAGTATGAATAAACAGCGATGACTAGATTAAACAATACCAACAAGTAAAGATTAATTTTAATTCTCCTATCAGTCAGTGAATTTTATATTTCGAATTGGGTTCATCTTTTTTTGTTCTCCTTTCGTTTAAATTTCTTTGAGACACTGATTCATGCATTGGAGTCTACTTCATTTGCATTGCATACTATAAATGGGAATGTCGATAACTCAACAACAATTTCTTCAATATTCGAAAACATGTTCACATTCATCTATCAGTGTCAAAAATATTCCTAGGTTTTACGAATCTATCAAATTACAAAAAAACCCCCTAAAGTTAATTTTAAATTTAAGAAAATGAAAATTACATAAAAAATGACTGGAGTCATGATTGTTTAAGTAGTACTCTGCCGAGTAAGGAACAATAATTCTTCTAACTACACGTGTCGACGAAATAAAAATGATCTCGATGCCAAAAATTAAAGAATAACATCAAAATTAATTATTCACCGCCAAGCGAAATTAAGATGAAGACACAAAAAATATTTGATGATTTTTTTTGGATTTCGAGAGAAGAACATCTTGCAAAAATTGTCAACATCCAATGGAGTGTCAATTATGCAACGATTTCGGTAACGAGTGATTCCAGGAGAATATGTCAAAAGACATTTTCTGTAGAGAATTGTATCAGCTATCTCTCTTCAGATAAAACTCAAAGAGCAAGAGGAATATACATAAAAAAATTACAAATGTGTGTAAATGACATTTTTGGCTCTCAAATAAAAATTTTTGTGTTCAATCGCTTCCTTAACTGAACAAGAAAAAAATTGCTACGACTAGTTATCATTTCATACACAATTTACAGTCTGACAAAATTATGCAAAACAAGTTATACATTTTACTCTTCACACATTAATTAATTCTGTCTACACTTCCATCTAATCCAATTTGACATTATTCATTTATCCCGCAAACGAGTCATTTTAGAATAAAATGTCGGGAGATTTTAGTGCATATAATTCCCTGAGTTAAAAAAAAATGGAGACAGAACTAATTTCAATCAATTTTTTGCGTTCGTTTTTCTAAATTTCTCATAATTTTTCCCATCCAGCTGTGACCTTAATACTGTAAAAAATAATATATGTACAAGCATTTTCTGTTTATCCATGAAAAATAAACTGAGACTCTGCAACGATTAATCATTAATAGGACGGTGTAGTCTAAGAATTCACATGGCATGTGACGAAAAAAGAATGACAGAAAAATATCATCAAATGAGGAACAACTTTGTAAGTTTGTATTGCTTAAAAAATGGCAGTTTACCAGTATCTGTACTTTTTAACACACGCATTGCCCCGATCAATCACTACGAGGTGGTTGTCTTTGAGAACAGATATACCAGCTGGTCTTCGTAACTTTGAGCTGTTGGAGTCAATTTCAGTCAGTATTCTACCACTTCCAAATTCAATCACTTGAATTGTGCTGCTTCGTTTTCCACTGTATGACGCAAGGATTTTGCCGTCTGGGTCTATGACTATTCCACCATATTTTCCTTTACCTGGAATTAAATAACAATTTTTTACAAATTTCTTTTCATTTTTTTCTCTCGTTACTAATATTTAAATTTTTTTATTTAACCAATTTTTTGTGACAATTAGTGGGATGCTAGAGATAATCCACAAAATGAAATAATGCATTTGTTGATTAATTTCTTTGATTCGTTAACAAATTAAAGAAACAATCAACAAGTGCATTATTTCATTTTTCTCAACATTCCTCTTAATTTTTCAGGATTTTCAAGTGTTTTTGAATAATTAAAAATTATTATAATTATCAAACTTTGTTGAAAAGTACTAAAAAAATTGATATTATAAACGAGAGAAATTGATATTAATTTTGTTTTTAATCATAAGATCATATTTGTGATTATTTTGATAGAATACCTTTTTCTCCAGCTTGAATCTCCTCGGAGAAATCACCTTTCGCAGAAAACACTTGAATTCGCAAATCAGCAACTACAATTTCGCCACCAAGACCAAACGTTACTGAGCTAATTTCGCTGAACATACTTGGTTTTCCCACCTGGAAGGTTCGAAGATTTAAATTAATCCAGAGTGTTAAATAATAATACCTGCAATTAAATAATAAATTTTTTACAATTCATTTTTATGTTTTCTCTCATCATTCCCCAATATTTTTTTCCTTAACAATTGTTTTTATAACAATTATTAAGTAAGTTAAAATTTTTGAAAAAATGTGTACAATGACAATTACGAATTAGTATTTTGAAATTCGACTCCTACATAGCTAATTTCGTTTTTTTAAATAAAGAATTGCACCATTCATGAAAAATAACCCAGAAGATGTCTCTGAAAAAATCAAGAATATATTTTAAATATTGTAAGGATTTTTTTTTGCTCATTTTACATGAATGGCGCAAATTTTTATATTAAACTAAACGAAATTAGCTGTGTAGGAGTGTAATTTCAAAAAACTAATTCGTAATTGTTATTTAGTCACTTACACATTGTTTGAAAAATTTGGAAAAAAACCTCTGGAACTCAAAAAGTGTGTGGCACAATCGACCAAGAAAAATCGGTCAAGTAGTTTCCGAGATCTAGTAATTTCTCAACAATGTTTTTTCCTCAATAACTCAAAAACTACGTGACTGAATTGAATTTTTTCAATGTCAAAATATTCTGTGTGATAATATTTACCAAATTAAATCACAATATTGTTATGTAACGAGGTAGGGACAGCTTGGTAATAATCGGCATTTTTCGTTTTTATGAGAAAATCGTTCTGTGCACGATAACTCCCGAAAAAATTTGGATTGGACGTTGCAAATTGATGAGATTGTAGCTCTTACGATATTACAAAACGGCCGTGGATCTACTCATATAAAAATCCTCTCCAAAATAATTTCCTAATATTTTTCTCAACATAAAATGTCTCTAAAATGTCTCTAAAAAACTCCCTTATCTCTCTCCCCCCAAAGACATTCAGAAAAACTAATATAAACTATTATAAATTAAGGAATTATCCAATGATGGAAAAAAAACTCACTTGAAACAGGAACTTGCCGTCTGAATCAAACACATATACGGAATATTTCCTATTTGGTCCACTCTCAGATCCACTGTCAGCAACTAACACGTGGCCATAGCTCCGGTCTACAGCCACGTCGAATGGTGTCTGCAAAAAAGAGAAAATAACATAAATTTTTTCCCATCTAAATTCCAGGAAGTGAGGAGAAAATAACGATGACAGTAGAACGAGGAGTGCAGGAAAAAGTATATCGTGTGAACAAACCTGAAATGCATTGTGCGTAAATGAACGAATTGTGTCTCCGTGTGTACTCATTTCCGTAATTGTACGAGTACGCCAATTCGTTACGACTAGTCCCTGCTCGGATATGGCAATTCCTGTGGCACCCTGTCGGGCTAAGCCTTCGTTAGTTATGTGTCGTTGAAACTCTAAATTGCTGTCGAGAACCTAGAAATTTAATGGAACAAACTCAGTTATTATTGACTGTTTAAAATGAATGGTTATTTTAAATTTTGTAGGGGAGAGTGGGGCAAAATGAAACAGTGAAAAAACGACTGTTTGATGCAATTCAAGCAAAACAAATTTTTTTATTAGATATTTTTTTTATCAACTTCTTTTATTCTTGGGAGTACTGATGAGAATAACAATTTTCCATTCAGTAGAATGGAAAATTATTGAGAAGTTTTGACGGGCGAAGATTTTGTCAATGGATTAATTAAAAGATATATCTACAGATATATCTTATAACATTCTCTTCTAAATCCTCTAATTTCAAAGATATTTGCACCAAAAAGTTCTTTAAATCCTTTCTTTGATGAATTTTCCCAAATCTGTTTGTAATTTTTCATTTCTGGGATATTTTTTAAAAAGAGAGCCTCAGGACGAAAAAAAATTTTTAAGTATTAGAGAATGTCATACCCTACGAAAAACGGTCATAATAAAACTTTTATAATAAATATGGTATTTATTTCTGTATGTATACCTTCTCGGTTCTTTACATTTTGTGCCCTTCCCAATCCCCCTTGAGATATCAGAAAGTTAATATGAATACACAAATTATCGTTAAGTTTGTGTGAAATCGGCAGTCTAGTACTATTGATAATAATTAATTTAGAAGAGCCAAAATAACCCAGTCTTCTGAGTAAATGAACTGTTTGGAATTAGGAAGAAGATTAAAATACAAAAAAAATCTCGAAAAATTAGAAAAAAATAAATAGAAATTCCGTACCCAATGTGAAAATTGTCGTCAGTGTCAAACTTTTGACAACCGAAATGGCGTGTTATGTCGAAACCCTAGTCTAATGACAAACTATTGTTTAAAAAAATTATTGAAGGAAGAATTAGATGGAGAATTTCTGACACTCAACAAGTTAGAATTTATGGGAAAAATGATTAATGAGGAATAATTTTTTGAGGCTTTTTGAATTTATGTTTCCTCGTCTCACTCAATGACTCAACTCGAGTTTATTCAAACTACTTAAATCCACAGTTTATTCACCTTGATTCGTGAATTCCCAGAGTCAAGAACATAGATAACATCATCATCATCAACAGCGAGAGCGACCATCTGGTAGAATTCGTCCCTCCCATGTCCCATCTTCCCATAAACCTTGATAGGTTCGTTGTGCTCGGTGGCATTGAAAAACAGGGGATAATCCTTGATAGGTCTTTCAAAGACTGACAGTTTCAAGCAGTACCTCGCCGGGAGGGGCGGTCGAAAATTGATCTCGTAAGTTCCGTTATCGAGGTCCTGAACCTGAGATTCGATGGACTGACTGTTGGACGACTGCTGATCGGCGTACGTCAACTCGACGCCGATGGGATCACCCCCGGCATTCCTAGGGTGTCCATGATAATCCACAGTCTCAAGTATCACAGCTGTGTGTAATTTTGCTATGGCCGTTTCTTTAAGACTAGCTCTGCACAACCCTGAAACATAAATCAACAAAATCTACATTAAAGATTGATTATATATGTCTAAAAACGAATAATTAGGGCAAACAAAAAATTATTACTGGTCACTTGCCTCGCACACGCTGAAAATGTTAAAAATAGTCTCCAATTTTTGAGCTACAGTTTTTTTTTCAAAATTTGTGAAAAAATATATGCAATAACAATTACGACTTAGTTTTTCTTTGATTCGGCATCTAAACCGCTAATTTTGTTTTGTTTGATATAAAAATCTGCGCCATTCATGTAAAATCGGCAAAAAAAAATATTCTTAAAATATTTAAAATATATTTTCGATTCTTTCAGAACCATGTTTTCGTAACAAATTTATTCATATTCAGAATTTTACCATAAATCGATTTCATGCTTAAAAAAAGGTTTCCGAAAGTTTAAACAATTTTAATTATTTATTTATAACCAACGAATGTTTAAAAAATAATAATTCTTTGCAAAATGAAATTTGAATGACACTGAATATTCATGATTTTTGGCAAATTTTTCTCACACAATTTGATTGACAAATTTGATGATTGAAAATAGTTGAATCTACAGTGTGGTCTGTATCAAACTGTAAAAGATACTTGGATATCCTTAAAGAAAAAAATAAAGTACCTGGTAATGTCGTGCTAGATCGTACACGGCCAAGAGCACTGAGTGCCTTCTCCAGTTCCTCAATGGCATCGTTATGATTAAACTCAGCAGTAATAAAAGCATTTTCCCTGGGTTCACTGAGCGCCACAGCTGCATCCAACTGATCAGTCAGACTGCCAATCCTCTGCGTTATGTTCCTCACCTCCACCTGATACTGCAGCCCCTCGCACTCACGCTCCACCTTGTTCTTCTCGGCCTCAATGAGCGCGTGCTGCTCCTCCAGCACTCGCTTTTTATCTCTCGCAGCTGCTGTCACACCTGCCTGCAGCTCCTCGCGTTTCTTCTCTATTTTCTTTATTATTTCGCCAAATTCGGCGTCTACCACGTTCAAACATCGCTCCATTGCAGCGTCTAGACGTTCGAGCTCCGTGCTGACGGATTCTTGAGCCTGTGTCAACTGGCAATTACAATTTTACTTGATTCATTCGATTTTAATTCGTTGGAAAATCAAGATTTATGGAAAAGAAAATTAATTAAATATTCTTTTGATCATTAACGAGGCGAAAATGCAATTTTTATACCGTGTCTGTAATGTATGTATGTGCGTACGTATGGAAATATGAAATATGCCATAAAAAAATAGAAGAAGAGAATAATAGCACAAGCATTTGTGAAAAAAGAGAACCCATTCGCAAGAAATTTTCAATTTATTAGTAGCAATAACAACTCATTTATAAAAAATGCAATTCAGTAGCGAAGCGGTAAACTGGGTTAAGTCGATTTTGACTTTTGATCAGTTTTTGATGAATATCTCAGAACCTAAGAGAGATAGCAAAATTTTTCTCATAACCTTTTTTGTAGAGCCAATTAAGGGCCATAAAAAGTTCCCGACAAAAATTTTTCTATCTCTTTTAGAGTCCGAGATATTCGTCAAAAACTGGCCAATAGTCAAAATCGACTTAACCCGGTTTACCGTTTCGCTACTGAATTATCCACTTGTTTTTCATGGAATTGATGTTTTCAACGTAAAATTAGTAATTTGCAAAGAAAAAAAAATGCATAAAAAATCTTACCTTCGAAATACATTCATTCGCCTTATAAAGTAATATCTCAGACATTCGTTTGATGGCGATGCTGAAGGGGATAATCGTATGCTCAGTGCAGCCTGGTGATGTGCCAGCATGACTGCCCCCAGTGCATACAGTGCAGAAAACAGTATCACAAGTCTCACAGAACAATAACTCCTGATTGATATGCACTGAACACTTTGGTATGACTTCGCGTCGCTGTCGAGACATGAGGTCCAATAACTGATTGACGAGAAATGATGGTGGCAGTGCTGGTACACCACCGCGTGGTATTGTGATCAGCTCTCGGCATATTGGACACCGGAAGTGGCCGGCCTCACGTGTCTGGGAGGCTGCGATCCTCGTTAAGCAGTGCAAACACACCTGCAATTATAATCATCATCTGTAATTAATAATCATGACCAACAATCATTTTTTACTACTGGGTAATTGATAACTATTTTTTTTCGGTGAAGAGTACAACCTTTTCAAAATATTAAAATTCGAGGACGATTTCGTTTGTCCAAATTAGTCTCAGGCCATAATTAACGATTTAAACCGCGTCTTAACTGAATGTCACAAATTTAATGAGAACAGAGAGAAGTTGTCCTCGAAGATTAATCTGTATTGCAACTCCGAAAATAGTGAAATTCTCCGAATCCTTAATGCGGCGAACCATGAAGTAGTGATGGGACTTCATTTTTTCCTCTCTAAAATTGGCCAAATGTGGCATTGTTAAGAAATTATCGAACCCTGTGTTATAAAGTTCCACGACTGCAACACTAACATCAAGGGCAGAAAACCACACTAATATTTATTGTTAAACTAGGAAAATCATATTGGATAATTTAACTGTTACATAAAACTGATTTCTCTTGTATTCTAATTATCGAGTAAAAAACACGTCTGTCAGACTCCTCTCTCCGTTGTGAGGAGCTATGTAAGCTAAAGCAATGAGTAAATTGAATTGAATTCAGTAGCGAAGCGGTAAACCGGGTTAAGTCGATTTTGACTTTGGGTCAGTTTTTGATGAATATCTTGGAATATAAGAGAGATGGGAGAATTTTCCCATAACCTTTTTTGTAACCCTCAATTGGCTCTACAAAAAAGGCCATGGCAAACAAATTTCTATCTCTTTCAGATTCCGAGATATTCGTCAAAAACTGGTCAATAGTCAAAATCGACTTAACCCGGTTTACCGCTTCACTACTGAATTGAGTACAACCTTTTTGATAAGTTTGATCAAAAAGGCCGCGTGTTATTTCCTGTTTGATTATCTGGATGATGTAAATGTAGACAAATAACAGAAAAGACTAGAATAAGGCCCGGCCGCATTATCTACGGAACGTTATCTAAAGTTATTTTTTCAACTCACAAATTTCAACTCGATGCTCCGTTACTCAGGGATACTCGACAATTCTGAATTTAGATTGAAGCCATTGGGAAGTTACTCTTGTATTGTACATAGCATAGTTATTTTTGATAATAAATTAGCAATATGCTTCCGAATGGTCATTTTGCAAATCATTTCCGTCAATCATTTATAATTCATTGTTTGTTTCATTTTATTAAATTGAATAAGAGTTGCTTTGACTTAATTTCGCCAGATTTTCAATTTGGTTCAAATTGAAAATCAAATCATGACGTTTCACTATTTTATTTGATGTTTCCTTCGGCGTCGGTGACTTTGAAATTGATTTATTCATACGAACTCACCGTGTGGGAACATGGCAGAAGTTTCGGTGTATGTTCACTGCCATCGTAGACACATAGACAAGTGCCGCAGGTCAAAAAGCTCTCGTTGAAGTCCTCGTAGTTGATACTAACGGTTTCTACGAGCATCGAGCTCATACTGACCATCCTCTCACCGAGTCGAGTCCTTTAACAAACATGAGCAATCATGAGAGAAAATTATGATTACGCATTTATATCAGTGTAACAATTTCTTCAACTAAATAATTTTACCGACCGATACATTCAATTTCTATATTAAACGCTATTTTTGCGGTCAATCTTAGATGTTATTAAGCTGTAAATTACATGGAAGGCGGGATGCTATGTGCAATCCATCGAGTTTCCGGATCCCTATATGGGAGGAATAATTCAGTAGCGAAGCGGTAAACCGGGTTAAGTCGATTTGGACTATTGGCCAGTTTTTGACGAATATCTGGGAATCTAAAAGAGATAGAAAATTTTTTGTCATGACCTTTTTTGTAGAGCCAACTGAGGGTTATAAAAAAGGTCATGAGCAAAATTTTGCTATCTCTCTTAGATTCCGAGATATTTGTCAAAAAATGGCCAAAAGTCAAAATCGACTTAACCCGGTTTACCGCTTCGCTACTGAATTGAATAATTAACAATGTACAAATTAAAAATTCGGCGGAACACGCATTCGAACCCAGTGGGATATGATCCCACATTTCCACCTTTGGCTGACGGGTGCTCTACTAACGGAGGCTTTTCCATGTAATTTATACCTCAATATTATAACACACGATCTATGCGCGCGCGAGAGCGATAATCTTTGCAAATTACTAATTTTACGTTGGAAATATCAATTCCATGAAAAACAAGTGGATAATTCCATTTTTTTTTATAAATGAGTAGTTATTGCTGCTAATAAATTAAAAATTTCTTTCGAATGGGTTCATTTTTTCACAAATGCTCAATATTATAACACAAGGTTTATGCGCGCGCTCTCGCACGCGCTGATCTATTCATTTGTTGAAATGTAGAAATGGAATTCATTGAATTTCATTTTCTCATGAATACTTTATAAATATTGATAATGAATCAAAGAGAATTCGACTAATGATTGAAGTGAATAGCGAAGTAGAGTAAAAGAATTCTATACAGAATTTTTCATTTTCAATTAATTATCTTCAATTTTTAAAAATAATCGGTCTCCATAAAAGGACAGAATTTATTAATTTCACCGATAATATATATATGCATGTGAAATATATATATTACACACGTGAAAAAAAGAATCGGAACAAATTGTGGAAAAATCTATTCATCATTTGATGAACCTAAAACTAGCGGAATATTCGTCAGCAGAAGATTCAATTTAGGTGATTTTTAAAGATATGAGAGTCAAATAATCNATATAATACGTAAAAAAAAAATTACCTCTGAAGAATTTGAAATTATGTCACTGAAGAATTTGATAATGCCGCGTGTTTTTTTTGTGAATAACTTCGTGTCACATATTGACCAATCAGAATTAAGGATTAGCGGNCATGAATACTTTATAAATATTGATAATGAATCAAAGAGAATTCGACTAATGATTGAAGTGAATAGCGAAGTAGAGTAAAAGAATTCTATACAGAATTTTTCATTTTCAATTAATTATCTTCAATTTTTAAAAATAATCGGTCTCCATAAAAGGACAGAATTTATTAATTTCACCGATAATATATATATGCATGTGAAATATATATATTACACACGTGAAAAAAAGAATCGGAACAAATTGTGGAAAAATCTATTCATCATTTGATGAACCTAAAACTAGCGGAATATTCGTCAGCAGAAGATTCAATTTAGGTGATTTTTAAAGATATGAGAGTCAAATAATCACATGTGCAAAAAAGTGTGTACATGATTTAAGAATATTTGTACACCTTTGGATGTGCTTAAATCGCAAATTCTGTTGGTGAATCTTTCACTAGTTTCAGCTTCATCATCATTTGGAGATATTTGTGGACGTCCGCATGAAAAGGGACCACTTTGTCGATATGGAGTTATGTCTCTGATAATATTTATAACATTCCGCACATTTTGAGCCCAAAATGATCCTCAGAGGGTGAAAAATGACGTCGTCGGAGCAGATGAAAAAAACACTTTAACATGAGTGTAAATGGGAGTTGCTGAGACAAAAACGTGAATATCTCGGAAACTAGAATCGACAAAGTGGTCCCTTTTCATGCGGACGTACACATTTATCCTTTTTTTTTATTGGTAAGTATCAACCCAAATGGCTATTTACAAAAATAAATTTCATACAGAGTACAAAGAACAACGGGATATGGGTGTAAATAACATTTGATTGATCAGTTGTCAGGTTGTCGTTCTACCATCAGATTCTTATTCTATTCTTTTTAACAAATTGATGAATAATCTTTAGTGGTTCTAGGTCCCTTGCAATCAGGAATGCAGCTATAGTGAACGGCCTGGGGCACCTATGTTTAATTAATCTTTCATCCATTTCTTTTCGGACTACCTCGGAGCACTCCGGGCATTCCCACAAGACATGGTTTTATCCTTTTCTTATTGATTAAATTCATTGTGAGAGGTTGTGTTTGAATGTGTGAACACTCAGGTAAATCCCGGTGAAAAACATTCGGGAATATCCCGAGTGCTAAAAAAGGAAGACAATTATTAGCTCTAATAAAACTTTCCTTCCTGGCTCCTCTAATGACTGTTTAGTGTAGCAGAAAGTTGAGCTAACTACTCATGTGATAAATCTCTTTGGTTTAGGGTGTTGTATGTAACATCAAAGAAATATAACAACTTTCTACGAGTTATATTTTCAGACTGATGTGAAGATTACTCTGGCTGTTATCGGAGTAGACGTGATTTATGATTTTTGGGGGATTTAACGGTGTTGACGGTTTTAGGAACACGTTGAGAGGTAAGAGGTTTAACGTGAAACGTCAAGAGATATTTTTCGTGGAGACTCATCTCAGCTAGGAAGAAGTCTCTTGATGTTTCCTGATGATGTCCATTTATTTGTCACGCGGAAAGATAAAAGTAATATTCTTTCCCTTTGTAATGAACCTGGACTTAGCTCAATTGGTAAATTTATTTGTGTTGTGAAAATAAAAAACAAGTGGGGAATTGGTTTCGATACAGCATAGTCCATATATTTTTGCTAATAAATTAGCAATTCCCTTCCGAATGGAATTTCTGTGGCGATGTATTTTGAATTGGCGTCAATGATTCATTGAATTCAACATTGCACCAACGTTGGTTGCCATTATTAGCTCAATGCCGGCGGCCAAACATTGCCGGCAGTGAACGTTACCTTAACGTTGGCAGCCAACATTGCCCCAACATTGGCAGCTAACATTGCCTCAATGTTGGTTGCCAACATTGTCTAATTGCATCAAACAGTCATTTTTCGACTGTTTCATTTTACCCCACTTTTCCCAATAATAATAATAATAATAATAATAATAATAATAATAATAATAATAATACAATGAGCTAAATTTGCTCATCAACACTCGGCCAGCGACGTCGTTATGTCAGATTTTTAATGTTATAATTTGTCATATGATGACATTTTCTGAGGACATTTTGAGCATGGCTACTTCTCAGATAATGTCAAAATATGACATTATCTATTCAATAATGACATAATGGAACGTCTAATGTCATACTTTGACAGATTCTATCATACTCAATGCCATAATCCGCCATCAACTGACATTTTTTAACAAATACAAATAAAGTGTCCATTTTACCCCACTCGTTCCTATATACATGCACACATATACGTATGGACACAGTCTAAAAATTGTATTTTCGGTCATTTTGGATCATAATGGATCAATATAGGGGAGGTTGGGGTAAAATGGACACTTTTGACTTTTTTAAAAATATTAATGACGGGTTGAAATGTTGATGAAATTCAATCATTTTTTTTTTCAATACAAAGAACAATTCTTTCTCTTTGTGATGAGCCTAAACTGAGCTCTATTGATACATTTGTTTCTGAGTTATGAATAATTTTAAAAAAGTCTAAAGTGTCCATTTTACCCTGCCCTCCCCTAATCCAAAAAATCCAAAACTTAAATTTGAACGATTACAATGCTTTCATTCGGAAGCAAATGTCGAAAATAATAAAAAACGAACAAATTATGACAGATTCCTGAGAAATGTGATAATAAATGACCAAAGCGACATTTCACTTGAGTTATTGTTTAAATCATCGACAAAAATTCGTCATGCTATGTAAAAAAATGTTTAATATGGCGAAAAATATCATCAGATCAAATGATGTGAGGGAACTCCCAGGACAGTAGACATTATGATAAATTACAGCAAATTCTGTGGAAATTCGTCAAATTATGACAGATTTTCCGATAAATTACGACATTGTATGATGCACCTGTTCCAAATTCACGTCATATATTGTCAATTTCTGGCCAGAAATGTCGAATTCGGGGATATTATGACAGCTTCTGACCGACTATGACATAATCTGAGTAAATTTCCACGCAAAAATCCAACAGAATTTGAGATTTTCCATCAAAATTCGACGGAATCGACACGATTTCCCCGAGGAATGTCGATTTTCCCTCTACTCTATTCCCCCAAACCCCTGTAAAAACTAACCAAAAAGCATCAACTTACTGAATCGCCAGCCTGAGAGCCTCCATGATCCCCAGCAGTCGTCACAAACCTCCAGACCCTCACTCAATCTGAGACCCTCTCCTCTCACTTCACCGCATCCCATGCACGAGTCCCTAAAACTTCACCTCTTGACCCAGAGACATGTCACGAATACCAAAACTCAACTAACCACCCAACAACAATGCCTCTACCTCCCGAGAAAATCACGTTTGCCTCAGCCTCTTCCTCATCCCTCCGCCCGCGCCGTCGTCAAGACCCACAAAACTCCACCAGATCAACAAAACAGAACAGAACACAACAGAACAAAAACACTCAGCTGAATGTCCTGCTGCATCCACCCGCCATTTCCCCTCGTATTTCCCAAATAAAAACCCCTAGAATCCCCCTTTCACAAGCATCACAGACCTCTCACGCACTCCCCCAACTGAATATCACACCAATAACCCTAAATCCTAAACAATAAACCTATTTTTTCATTCTTCCCGACGAGACTGGAGTCAACAACACTAGAAG